ATAGGCGACTTAGAAACTTCAGCCCACAGCAATTGTCTTAATAATTCAGATTATTATTTTTTAAAGCCCTATGATATTGGTTAGGGTCGTATAGAAAAGGAGAAGCCTGCGGCGCTGCATCCACAATGACACTCGCAATAAAATTCTTCAGTAACGTGGCGAATCATATGTCAGTCATAATATGAAAATTACATTATGGGATTCAATGGATTATGATGTCATACTCATAGATTTTTCGTAAGAATTTCATTTTCATTTCCATACGAAGAAGCGAGAACGTGCTTGAGCAATCTATATCATTTTCAACATTGTAGAAAATGAGAACAACTAAATTGCAAATCGTGACCACGAAAACCTAAATAAAATTTTAATTAAATATTTTTCCTGCGAAATAATAAATAGTTAAACGCTAAGTGAGTACCAAAAGTAATATAAGGCATAACCAATTCATTATATCAGCTTTAGTAGGAAAAAAATACCTAATAAAAGTTGGAAGAAAACAAGAAAAAACGTTAAGTTATAATAGCCTTCACCAGTAAAAAGGTTTTCCATACAAGAACTTAATTTTGATCGGTCAGTTTGCCAGCTATGTGCTATAGTGATCCGATCTGAACAATTGGTTCGAAAATGCAATTATGCAAAATTTTAAATCGATATCTCAAAAACTAGGGGACTAATGCGCGTATATGCAGACAGACGGAAAGCCAGACGAACAAATCGACGTAACCCGACAAGTTGATCATACACTCTAAGACGTTTCCTTCTTGGTGTTACAAACGTGACAAACTTAATATACTCTGTTCAGGGTATAAAAATTAAAAACAAAAATTGGAAAAAAAAGTGGAAATAAATAAATAAATGAAAAGTATGAGAAATGGAGAAAATTAGTTGCGTAATGGGAGTTTTACTTCAGTGCTTTACGGGAAAGAGCAAGAGGAAGCAGACCTAATTGACTTCACTTGGTCTTTACGCGTTGCGGCTGGCGGCTGGCGTCTGTGGGACTGTGAAAGAAGAGGCAACTGTGAGGTGTCATTTGAAGTGAACCACAGACGCTTGGGTGGCGTAGCGGCAAGAAGAAGATAAATACAGAGTTGTAACATTATGATTGCGCAAAGCTGGTTATATATATTTTTTTTTTTGAGGTTATAATTTTTTAGGTTTTTTTGTTTGCGGTTATATTTTTTTTTTTT